TCCAGGTTGATGTGGCCTGGGACATACGTCTCACAGTGGAGGGACTGACTCCTCTGGGTTTCTGTCACTGATTTTGACACCAGCTTCTCAGCGTACTTCTCTAGACTCCCACCCAGGAGAGTACAAGAATTGATAAAGGGTAGAATAAATCTCTACCCTTTCTCTTCACTTTACTTTAAAAGGCCATGAAATTACTGGATTTAGGATTCAAGGAATAGAGATGATCCCTTGAAATCTGTATCAGTCCTGGATTTCTTCTGTGGTCTACACTCTAGATTAGTTACAGTATCAAAGTTATGCCAGTTCAGAAAATGAGTTGAAAAGTGTTTCATATCTGTATATCTTCTTGACAGTATTCCTTGTTTTAATCTGCTTGTTGGTTTCTCTTCGTCTGCCCTCTTCCTGTGCTGTCTCTTAGGTTTGAAGCTCTAGCCTCAGCCAGGATAATCAGGACAATTTGGAGGTCTGACAAACCAAGTCCGAACTCATCATGGCACAACTGCATCCAGAGCTGGCCTGGCCACTGTAGTGGCCCACGATGAGTTTCTGTGCCATAAGATGAGCAAGGACACAGGGCTGGGTGCCAAGCGCAGGTGGGGAGGGCAGGGAGCTCCCGGGCAGAGTATGGGGGGCTCATCCCTCGTGCAAAACAAGCCGGAAACCACAGCACCCAATATGTAAATCTTGGTGGCTGAGCCACTCCAAGGGTAGTAACCCCGACACAGTTGCTGCTGTCTTCTCTTTCACTCAAGGAAGTCAAAAAACACCTGCAGCCCTATCAGCCTCTTGAAAACAAGGTGAACATCTACATTTTCCAGAATAAGACCAGGATCCTGGGTCACGTTTATGGTCCACACATTTGCCCATGGCCAGGCGAAGGACTTTGCTTCTGCCAGCACGTCCTTCTTCAGAGATGAGAGGAAACAGACACAACTCTGAAGCAACAAAGAAACAGCTCTTTCTCAAGCGACCTCCTCGGACTCCCTCCTTCCTGGATAATAGACCGGCTTTGCCCCTTGGGGGCCCAGGACGAATATCCACTCATGACACCGTAGCCAGAAAAATGGCAGTTGATCAGGCTTTGAGCACGCCTGGATGTGAATGACAGAATTTCCTCCTCTCCTCCTATTATATCAGCATACGTGGAGTGAAAACGACAGAGTTACAGTCCTAAAGAGAAGTCAGGCTGCAGCTAAAAGAATCACCTTCTTTGGACTCCACCATGACTGATGAAAAGAATTTTGAACCACAGACTTGAAGATGGATACCAGATACAAATATTCCAGAGCCAGGTAGGGAAGCTGCCATCCCCCAAACCTTGCAGAGGGCAAGTTTTCCCATTGTGTCCCCTGACGTACTGGGTAATTTGCTGTATGTTACTGATGTGACGGGACCCTCCCCGAACAGGCTACTTAATTATGTCAGATAAAAAGTGAAAAGTGACGTTGCTTGAAATTTGAGACCTGGGGAACATTGCTAACTAAGGTAGCTTATCAGTAGTTTTCAGGATTATTTATAGACGTGCATTGAGGTGAGCTCGCTCTCTCTTTCTGTCTTTCTCTTTCTCTCTCTCCTCTCTCCCCCCCCACCCCGAACTTCCTTTCTCTCTCTTCCTCCCACTCTCCCTCCCTCTCCCTCTGTCTCCTCTCCACAGCAGTTTAGAATTTATTCTGAAAATCTAACTTTGCTGAGGGTCAGGTGGAAGGCAGCTTCAGTGATGAGCTTGTTGACATGCTCCCTAGGAAGTTCTAGTTCCATCACTCTTATACGTTACATCCAAGAACCTCTCAAGACTGTCTTACTGACACTTTGCTTTCCTCAATAAATTAATCTTATCAATGTCCATCATGAACACTGTAGAATGGTAGATCCTGGCGGGGCCTCACAGATGCTTCTGAGACGTCCTTTGCTTTCAAATGACAAAATACACACATACTAAGGATCTCAACTACTTCTCCACGATCTATTTTATGTTACTACAAACATCACAGCAACCATTACTATAGATCACCACTGTGTGTGATCAGTTAAAATAGTTGTTGCCACAATGGTTCTTATAATAATCTTTTATTAGTAACAAGTACTGCTTTAAAATAGTCATTCAGTTGCAGTGTCCACACTACATCTCCAGTTTACTCACTTAGGAATATATATCCCTTGTATAGCCAGGCCATCTTTTTCATTCCTATGTTCTATTTCCCCCCACATCTCCTACATCTGTGAAAGAGTATTTCCTGTGCAGAACTAGGAAAGCTCTTACTTTTTTGGCACTCTTAATTTAAAGCTTATAGAAAAGAATTTAATTAACAAAACTCATGCATGCATGCATCTACCATTTAAAAAGTTATATTTACACATTGCACAGGAATACTGAGAATGCTGCTAGGCAAGGTGAGAGTTTACTTTTTTCCCAAAATTTTACAGCTATTTTATACACTTAACTTTCCACTTGCCAATTTTTCTCTTCTCTCTACCTCCAAGTTGATCCCTTTCTTTCCTTAACTTCTGGTGAGACCTACTGCTCATTCTTTTTTATTATTATTTCAAAATATTCAGGGGTAAAAATGTTTTTTGCTGCATGAGTACCTTGTCTAACACTTAAGTCAGGGCTCTGAGTGTGCCCACTGCTGATTCTGCTATTTAAGGCAACTAGCAAAGCTCCAGTGAGCTTTGGAATTACAGTTACAGATTTTTCTTGCAAAACTTACTGTTACAGTGGTCAGTATTAGCCTTTAATTATTATAATTTATCACCTCTGATCTGTTATTGGTCTTCAATTATTCATTTTTTTTTTTCATTCATTCTGAAACTGTTAGTTGAGCATTTGCCAAGTGAAGATGCTGGGCCTCCCAAATAAAAGACAAATAAGACATTAAAACAGTCACAGTCTGGTAGGGTAAAAGAGAATCTGACAGCAGGTACGAACAATTAGGCATTGTAGGCCCAGTGACCTGTCCCTGTACTCTACAAAGTCAGGTCACCTGCTTGGGGATAATCTGAGAGAAGCAGTTGAATCTTGAAAGACAATTAGCTGTTCACAGGCTAGCCCAAGTGGGCAAAGGTGTTTCCAAGCAGAGGGAGTATTTTGTAAAAGCTGGAGGCCATAGAAGAACTGTAAGAAGTTTAGGGTGGTGAGAGCAATGTATGGAAGGGGATGGGGATGGGTGATTCAGAGATAAACAAGACTGCAATAAATGAAGCCGGACTCAAAACAAAACGAGGTCTTCAGTGTCCTTGATGGGGTTACTATGGAGACATCAAGGCATGCTGTGGCTCTATGGCAGCTCTAAAGACAGCACACACCTGACTCAGCTCAAGAAGACCTGAGCTTTGCCTGTCCTATGATAACAGACCAACCAAGCAAATAAAGTCTACTTTTCTACTCTGTTGATCTTCATTTTTGTTTGACATGTCATTCATAGCTAAACTCCAGACTACATTTCAAAGATATGGGCCTTGATTTGATACATGTTTAGTCTGCCTATTTTGAAACAACATCACAGCAAAGCAGAAGTTCAAATAGGAAGACAATCTTTCATTATTTCTCACTGAGAGTTCCACAATTACATTGAATGAAGCTTGTCATTTGCAAAAGCTCCCCACCCCAACCCAAGAAAAAGTATAAAGATGTGGCCATTTTTAATATTTGCTTGTCTTTCTTTGTAATTTACATTCGGTCTACTTTCCAAAAAATAAATAAACAATAAGCAGTTCAGAAGTGGCAAGTTGCTTAAAAAAAAAAAATACTATCAGGCCGTAGACATAAATATAGTCTTCTAGGATTTTAGATCTCACCTAGGAAAACAAACATGCTTTGTCAGAAAAGACCCAGGGCTTCCACACCTGCTCGAAAAGAGAGTTAAGCTTCAGCAGCTGGCCCAGGGCTCTGTTCCTCTTTGAGGAGAAGGGTTTCTGTACGGCGAGACAATGGAGAGCTCTCACTGTGGTGGACGTTCGGCCAAGGGACCAAGCTGGAAATCAAACGTGAGTAAAATCCAAGCTTTCCTTTCTTGGTTGTCTGTGTCTTATGGTCTCTGTGTTTATGAAGTGATCTATAAGCTGAGTCTTTGCAAACAGCCTCTGACATCCTCCAGGGCAAAGAGAAAGTTGAAGTCTATAGGCAAACTTGAGAATTGATTGTGCATTTTCTGTGAAGAGCAAGCAAGATTCAGTCATTGGGTGAGAATAACTTGTCCAAGCGATAGCTTTGGAAACTGGGGGGTATACTAACATGTTCTGGATGGAGCCTTGCTCAATTGTTAGAGGGACATGGTTTTTGTATAGGAGGGAGGCTAAGGGGAACCATTGTGTGTACACTTTCGGTGCCGGGACCAAGTTGGAGATCAAACGTAAGTACTTTTTCCAACTGACGCTTCACTGTTTCTAATCGGTCTGATTGGTTTGCTTTTTGTTCCTTTTTGTGTGTTTTTGTTAGTTGGATGTCAGGGATATAGCAAATTTCATTCCCAGATTAGGTACACAGGAGAGGAAATTGTTCCACAGGAGGCTAGCCAATGGCTAATTTTTAAGTTATTAAAAGTTTTTAAGTTAATTTCAGTTATTTCTAAATCAAAATAACTGAACTAGGGAAGGGGACTTACTGCCCTTTCGAGAAGGTTTTTAGTAGAGGGGCAAGTGAAGGCGAATCACTGTGATTCACTTTTGGCGGAGGGACCAAGCTGGAAATCAAACGTAAGTACATCTATGCTCAGTTATTTGTAAGGTATGGGTCCCATTGTATCATTTGTGCGAGTTTGTGATACTTTTGTTAAATGAACTATTCCCGGCGACCCAAAAGTAAAGGATAGAACACCTACCTAAGGAGGTAGCCAACTTAAAAGTTGAGCAGACAGAAAAACTGCTAGGTTTGTGAGAAGAATAGGATTTGTGGGGAGAATGGGAAAGCAATAGCTGATTTTTCTCTGAATTGGCCGATCTCATACGATTGGCTTGGAAGGGAGGTTTTTGTTGAGGGGAGAGTGGCAGAGTCCTCACTGTGGCTCACTTTCGGCCAGGGCACCAAGCTGGAGATCAAACGTAAGTGCACTTTTTCAATCCTTTTTCTTGCTGAAGTTGTAAATTTGTGGGGGGGTTCGTGTTGGGAATGAGTTGAGATCAATTCCGAAGAGAACAGGATTCTTCCAGAAAATCAGATGAGCAGGGGACTGAAAATCAGTTCACGTGAAGGAAGAACAGCTAGTCGAGCGACACGGCTTCTAAATTGCCGGATTTTCTCTGTATCGGTCAGTCTAGTGACGTTAGCAGCAAAAAGAGGTTTTTATTAAGGGAAAAGTCATTAAGCTAATACTGTGGATCACCTTCGGCAAAGGGACACAATTGGAGATTAAACGTAAGTAATTTTTCTCTATTGCCTTCTGAAATTTGGGTCTAATTGCCAGTATTAAATTTTAGGGGCTTAAATCTGAGTTTTATGGAGATGGGTGAATGAGAGCATTTTAAATTTATCGTCAGTTGCAAAAGTTAAACTCAGTTCCAAAAATGGATTTGGAGACCAAAAGATTAAATTAATCTAAATGAAATGACTCAAAGGGAAAGAAAAATAGCGTAGATGAAAAGGGAACCCTCGGAGTTCTAAAGGGCAAAACTAAATTTATTTTCATTCAGTTTTGCCAAATATTGTATTGGTTGTTGCTTGTTATATATGATATAGAAAAGTAGAAAAATGTATTTCTTAGTCTGTTTTCTTTTATCCGATAAATTATTTTATAAGATAACTATAAAAATCAATGGCAGGCACTAAGAAATAAGTGAGAAATTTTTAAAAGTATACCTGTTTGCCATGTAGAAGAGGCAGCTTACTAGAAAATCGCCAGCAATGTCATTTATAGAGCCTAAAATGAGTGATAAACTGTCAAAATGATAGATTCTATAAGAATAATGCCTTGACAGATAATTCCCTTTTTAAAATCCAATCTGTACATTAGACTAAACATGAAACAACCTCTTATTATAATGGTGGAAAGACAGTTGCTCCCTAATGCTCAGTTTCAAAGAAATTTGTTTAAATGAAGAAAAGTAAATAATTGCATTTTTTAAATGCCCACGGTGGTAGAAAAATAGCGAATATTTTAAAAAGTATATTCTTTGATTACTCTCAGTTATCAATTATCCATATTTTTATCCCGCCAAGAAGGCCGTGGCAGAGCTAGCGGTCTGTAGACGTGGCAGTGGTCTTCTTTCACGTTTGAGTGACTTCTGTGGCCATCCCGCCACACTCGGGGGCCAGTGCCCCTTGCCACTAAAGGCCACGGCAATCCCGCGCTAGCCTGTTTAACTCTGCCGTGGCCCGATTTCCTGACACACAGTGATACAAATAATACCGCTTAACGGAGAGAGCATAGAAATGTGATGGGCGCTGAGCTAATATGGAAAAAACAGGCAGAAGCTGATTCATTAGAGATTTCAGAAGTAAAATTCACATTTATTATATCCCATTAATGAAAATTTCTCTTAGGGGATTGTAAAGAACTCAAAGCTATTTTTTTCAGTGCTGTTTAATTATTTTAATAACCACTCATCAAATTTATTTAAATTATAAGAGCTGAATCTAAAAGAAAGATATATATAACTCTTTCAGGGTAAAATCCACACCAGCAAAAATCAAATTTAATGACAGCAATCTGGCCACTCAGGTCTGTATCAGTTCACTCTGAGGTCACATGAAATGCCATTAAGGTATATTAACTTATAAAAATTAAGATAAACTTGTGACATGTTTTTAATTTAAAAAAATTTAAGTGCCTGGGTAGGATTATCTTTCAGTTGTACCAAATATCTAATCATATATAAGTGTAATTAATAAAAATTTAATGTAAACTTATTTTCCAATACCTTAATTCTGTGATAGAAAAATTTTCATCTGGACATTTTAATTTTAGAACCTCTAAAATAGCTTAAAAATCTGTTATTGCTGTTGTTTAACCAAGCTGATTTCAAAAGTGATACTGCAGAAGGATTATTTTGGTCTGCAACAACTAGAAAAGACTATTTTAGGGCTCTTTTAAGCTCTTTTAAAACTAATTTAGAACTATTAGAAACTACTTAGCTGTTTTAAACTATTTTAAAATGAGTTTAGAGCCTTTAAAAAAAACTCTTTTAAAGATTTTTATCTTAGCATATCCAGGGTAAAAAAAAAAAAAAGAATTTTAAACTCTATTGAAAGCTAATAAGATATCTTGACATAATTTCCATATCAAATATATTAATTGCTTAATATTTTAATTTTAAAATTTAAAGCTATCAAGAATTCACCCAGACAAGAGTATCTTTATAGAATGTTTTCTCCTGCTTATTTTCCAAAGATTATGTTATTTTGCCGTCAAGCCTATTTTATGCAATTATTTGGAAAAAATTAGTAAATGAAAGTTAAAAGAGAAAAAAATATCAAACAAAACTTCAGTCTTTTCTGTTGAGCTAACTGCTTGATTAACATTGAGATTTATGAAAACCTGTTCACATTATATGTTGACTTCTCCCACCAAAAGATTCTTGATTTTTTTTTTTTAACTCTTGCTCTCCCACCTGAGGGCTTGAATCCCCACAGGGGGGATTTCTAAGAAGCCATCTGGCAGCTGCTCAAGGTCAGAAGCGAAGTTAGCCAGTTCCTCCTAGGCAGGTGGCTGAGATTACAGTTGACCCCTCCTGGTCTGGCCAAAAATCAGCCCATGTGGTTACAGACCGTCAGGCCAGGGCCCGGGTCTCACTTGGAGGCCTTTGCGAGGGGTGGGCGAGTTACAGGCGTGATCACAGAGCGAGGAGGAGCTGACACCCACCCAGGCACAGACTCAGGGCCTGGGGCCCACCCTGCAGGGGGATTTGGCACGGCCAAGCCAAAGGAAGCCCTGGGCAGCCTGCCGTCCCAGCACAGTCCTGGGAGAGGCACGGGGGAAATGAAAACCCGACAGAGGCTCTCCCTGACGCCACCGCTGCCTGGTCTTCTCCATAATGAGAGGCCACGGCTGTTCTGACTTCTAAAGGAGGTCAGATGAAGTGGCCTGTGTGTCTTTGCCCAAAGCTCAGAGTTTGCTGCAGGAGGCAGGGAACGCAGTTGAAGGAAGGAAAGGCAAGGTCAGGAAAGCATGCAGAGGCCTCAGAATGGCTTCCAAGAGTTCAAACAAAACCGCTTAGAACCTTCTTAAGGGATAGAGGGTAGCTAGAGAGAAACTGAAAATCATCATGTTTGTAAATATGCTTCCTGGCCTCATTGCTGCAATTATACAGGACAAACATGCTGCTTTCTGTCTGTCTGTCCTAACACGCGATCATCCACAAACAATGCACCCAGGTGGAGAACTTCTCTGTTACTTGAACACCATCCTCTGTGCTTCCTTCTCCAGGAGCTCAGGCTCAGCCATCTGCCTACATCTTCCCGCCAAATGAGGAGCAGTTGCGGTCTGGAACCGCCACTGTCGTGTGCATGATAAACGGCTTCTACCCCGAAGAGATCGATGTCAAGTGGAAGGTGGATGGTGCTGTCCGAACAAATGATGTCCAGAACACTCTCACGGAGCAGAACAGCGAGGACAACACCTATAGCCTCAGCAGCACCCTGACGTTGCCCTCTACAGAGTACAGCCGGCACAATCTCTATACCTGTGAGGTCACTCATCAGAGCCTGGGCTCGCCCCTCAGCAAGAGCTTCAATAAGCAAGAGTGTTAGAGGGAGATGCCCCCCAGGCCCAGACTGGGCTCCTCCCTTCCTTAGGCCTTGGGCCTTTTTCCCCCTGCAAGGGACCTACCCCTAGTGCACTCCTCCAGCCCCTCTCCCTGCCTCATACCCCCTCCTCCTCCTCCTTGGCTTCAATCATGCTAATACTTGGGGGGGGGGATGAATAAATAAAGTGAATCTCTGCACCTGTGATTTCTCTCTCCTTCTTCATTTCATGGTTGTTATACATAGTTTTTCCAATTACCCAGTTTCTCTTCTAAGGAACTAAATATTTGGTTGCCCTAAAATCAGCTACCATTTATAAAAGTCATCCTCCATCCTACCCTACACCCTACTGGCCTCTGCAAGGTACTCCTCCCTGAAACCCACAAAGCCACATGTCTTCACACCTCACTCCCCTGGGCGCTGGCTTCCTTGTTTTCCCCTCCTTAGCAAGCTCTACCAGTCCTTTTTACACTCTTACAGTCACATATTGTTTGATGCAATTCAATATACCCTGAGAATCTACCAAAGCAAATTTTTCAAAAGAAGAAAATAGCTATAAAGAGAGTCATTCATTGCAATGTGATATAAAATAACAAAACAATAGAAACAAACTAAATGAGCAAGCAATAAGGAAACATTTAAGTCTACCATGGTACTGGGACTTAATGGAATAGTATTGAGGGACTCCTCTCTGCTGAGGACCATGTTGAGCCCTTCCCACAACCTAATTCTCACTACACTGTGAGGTTAAAAAAAATGCCAGGCAGGTTGTATAAAGCTGAGAGGTGTTCATATTCTGTAACTCAGCAATCCCACTTCTAAATGACTGCATCCCTGTCTACCAAAAAAAAGTATGCCAAGAATGTTCAAAGCAGCTTTATTTATGAAAGCCAAAAGTTGGAAATAACCTGTGTCCACCAACAGTAGAATGGGTCGTTAAACTTTGGTGGGTTTTATACTATTCAATAAGGAGAATTAACAAAACTACAACTATACCAAATAACATGATTGAATCTCATAAAGAAAATGTTAAGCAAAAGAAACCAAGTGCAAAATATACATTATGTACATTTTAAGCCATAAGAAGTTCAAATCAGGTAAAAATAAAAGTAGAAATTGGGATGGGGATTACTCTTGGCTGGGAATGGAGTGAGGTGATGGCTGGGAGGGGGCAAGAAGAGGCATCTGGGGTTTGAGTAATGTTCTGTTCCTTGATGTGGGGTGCGCTGCTTTGTGAAAATGTATCGAGTTGTACAATTATGACCTGTGCACTTTTCTTATATACGTTATACTTCAAAATAAGTTCACATCAAGAAATGCCTTAAACCCAGTTTACAGATGAATATGTAATAGGCCAAGGCCACACGTTGGGGGCCCGGGATCAAATCTCTACCTGCCCAACTCTGCTCTCCGGAGCTCTGTGTGGAGCTCTGTGCTATTCTGCCTCTCGGCACTCAAGGTGCTGAACTGAAGAGGGATCAGGCATGCTATTTTCCTGGGGCCTCCTCCTCCATTTAGCTAACTAGAAGCACAAATATACAGAAATGGAATAGAACATACTTTCAGCAAGGGGACAAAGGACAGAATATTGGGAACCCACATGTGAAAGCTTATGTATTGGGGGGCACATGTAATGCCAACTTGACTCTCCCCCCTTCTGTGGGGCACTCTGGCCCTGCCCCTCTCAGCTACTCACCCATGCAACACACCATACTAAGCACCTCTCTCAGCCTACACTCTGAAGGGGGTGCAGAAATAACTAACACAGCATCCCTTCCCTCAGTTAACTTATAACCCAGGTTTCCTGCTCTCTTTTCCTTTCCTTTGTCAGTACCAGGCAGTGGGGAAGGGCAGTCGCAGGAAAATTGCATAAGGAGACACCTTGCCATTCTGCCTCTTGCGAATGTTCTTTAATTATCAAATTTTTGAAACTTTGGAGATCTGAGTAGAGCTAAGAAAGACTCAGTAATGTCCCTTCAAATGACATGAACTTGCTCGCCCATCCCTGGGGACCAAATTTGACAATCAAAGGCATATATAATCCAGCTATGAATTCAAAGTCTCTTCCCAGAAGGCAAAAGTCTGCAGCCAGACCCACCATGACTCAACCAAGTGAAGATAAGTGTTGTGGGTTGAAAGTGTGACCTTCAGAAAGATATATTCAACTCCATAAACATGGAAACAGGGTCTTTGCAGATGGAATCAAGTCAAAATGAGGCCCTACTGAAATGTTGGTGAGGATGCAGTGAAAACGGATCATTCGTACATTGCTGGTGGGGATGTAAAATGGTACCACTACCCCAGAAAATAGTTTGTCAGTTTCTTTAAAAAAAAAAAAAAACTAAACAAAATAGATCTAACACGTGACCTAGCAATTGTACTCCTGGGCATCTACCCCCAAGAAATGAGAATTTATGTCCATGCAAACACTTATACATGGTTGTTCATAGCAGCCTTATTTGTAATAGTTGAAAACTGGGAAGATCCAATTTGACCCTCAACAGGTGATTGGTCAAACCATTTGTGATACATGCACACCATGGAATACTATGGAGCAATTCAAAGGAACGAAGTATTGATACGTGCAACATGAATGATTCTGAAGGGCATTGTACTGAGTGGGAAAAGCCAATCTCAAATGATCACATAGCATATGGTCCCTATCATACAACATTGTTGAAATGACAAAATGATAGAGATGGAGGACAGATTACTGGTTGCCAAGGGTTCAGGATGGTGGGACAAGGAGAGTAGATGGGACCATTAAGGGAGTATCATAGGGAGATGTTTGTGGTAATGGAATAGTTCTGTATTTTGATGACAGTGGTGGCTCCACACATCTAGACATGTCATAAAATGACACAGAACTATACATGGACATAGTACCAAGGTCAAATTCTTGGTTTTAATATTGTGTTCTAAATTATGTAAGAGGAAATCATTAGGAGAAACTAGGTGCAGGGCACACCAGATCTCTCTATTCAATGTCCTATCTTTGCAACTTCCTATGAGTCTATAATTCTTTCAAAATAAAATGTTTTTTAAAAACTTTATACCAGGCCAGGCATGGTGGCTCACACCTGGAATCCTAGCACTTTGGGAAGACCACTTGAGCTCAGCAGTTTGAGACCAGCGTGAGCAAGAGTATGAGCAAGAGCGAGACTCCGTCTCTACTAAAAATAGGAAAATTAGCTGGGTGTTGTGTTGTGCACCTGTAGTCCCAGCTACTTGGGAGGCTGAGGCAGGAGTTTGAGGCTGCAGTGAGCTATGATGACCCCACTGCACTCTACCCAAGGCAACAGAGTGAGACTCTCTCTCCAAAATAACTTTATACTGGATCAGAGTGGCACAAAATCCAGTGACCAGTGTCCTAATATGGAGGAGATTAATGCAGAGACACACAGGGAGAATGGCACGTGACACGGAGGCAGGGTCAAGAGTGCCGCTGCTGCAAGCTGAGGAATGCCAAGGACTGCTGGGGAGAGGTGTGGGGTGGTTTCCCCCTCAGAGCCTGCAGAAGAACCAACCCTGCCAGTGCTTTGAATTCAGACTTCTGGCCTCCAGAACTGTGAGAGGATACATGATACATGCCTGTTGTTTTAAGACCCCCATTTGTGGTACTTTGTCAGGGCAGCCCTAGGAAACTAATACAATGGAGGTAGCAGAGAAGAGAGCTTGAGCCCCCAGGGAACTTCCTTCTGCACTGACGAGTGAGCCCCCAGCAAAGCTTCGCCTCCCCAGACGTGGTTGGCCACGTGCACTCACAGAAATGGGGCTCCACAGGTCTGACAGCTCCTCCAATCCTGAAAGTTCAGGTCAGCATGAGTTAAAGACCAAACAGACAAGAGATCCAGGCTGCTTCTCATGAGAATGCACATACTTTGGACTCAAAAAATGAACTTTGGAGTCAGAAAGCCCTCACTCTGCCATGTGTGAGCTGTGTGGCCCTGAGCACATTTCTTAATCCATGTGGCCTTTGCTTTCTCACGTGTAAGATATAGATAATGACCACCTGATAGAAAAAAAAAAAACTGTAAAGATTTAAAAAGATAGCACATGCAAAGAACTCAGCACGAGGTGTGCTTCATGATAAAAGCCCAGTGTGTGCCGGCTGTGGAATGAGCACACCATGCTGTCACTGTTCTTCAGGGTCAGCTAACTCTTCGGCTCCAAAGCCCCCTGGGTCCCCAAGGTAGACTGAAGGTGGAAGTGAGGAAAGAGATGAAAAAGAGAAAGAAATGGAAAGGAGAAATTAAAGATGGAGGAAGAGAAAGAAGGGAAGAGAGAAAACAAGAATGAGAGAAAGATCTCTGTCCAGGAAAACTAGCAGGGCCCTGCTGTGACATGCCCCACCTGAGGCAGGGTGGACGGGTGTCCTTTCTCCTGGTCAGTCACATCTCAGTGTACCCCAATGCGTACCAAGCACAAGACAGCCATCACTCCCAGAGAGAAGAGGCCGGCCCACACCCAAGGTGCAGAGCTGGACATCTACTATGGGAGAGGGAAGATGCTGGACATCTGGAAAGCAGCATATGGATTCCACGTAGACTAAGACACAGTAAGAAAAATTAAAACTTCCAGGTAGTTTGCAGTGGAGCTGGAATAACAACAAATGTTCAGTGTCACAAGATTGGAGCAGTCCAAATGCTAACCTCCCTAACCCCTCCTATCGGCCACCCACACTGACCCAAAGACCCCCGGGCCCTTGATTCTTCTGTGCACCTCCTTCACCCTGTCTTTAAGACAAAGAGCAGCATAGGTGACCCTGAAGTCCTTTTCCATCAGAGTGGGATCCTCTGTGGCCTCAAAAATGGGCTGTAGCTTCCTATTTTAAACTCTTTTTTTTTTCTATAAAAGCAAAATTTTTCAGAAATAGCCATGTTTTCTAGAGTTGATGCTAACACATTTGCTCCCAGAAGTCCCTGATCAAGTTGATAAGCTGAACATGTTATTTTGGAGAAGAGAGAAAAGAGGATGCATAAAGAAATTTTTAAAAAATAGGAGATAGGAGATGGAGAGAAAGAAATTAGGAAGGGAGGGGAGATGAAGGAGGAGAAAGAGGAAGCAAAGGCTGGTGAAGGGAGGGTAAGCAATTAATCAGGAAGGGGAAAGAAGAGCCCCAGATAGGTGTCTGTTTACTTGCTTGTTTGTGTTTTCACACTCTGCCTTGTGCTAGGTATTGACAATTCCAAGACCTACCTCTTCAACTGTGTCCCTTCAACCTAACAACTCTCTTTGTTCTTCCTTGAAACCTAGGCCCTCAGTGGGCTCATGTGCATGTCAGGCCTGTTTGTCTTCCCATAGAAGATGCCTCTTGGCCTGTGCTGGGGGAGGGGGAGGAGGGTTTCATAACAGTTACCAGGGTGGGACCTAACATTTTACTAAACTAAATTGTTGACCAGAGTGGCCACTGGAGGACCTGAACCTGAGTGGCTAGGACACAGGCCAGGGGCCCTGTAGCCCTCTCAAGTCAGCCATACCACAAGCCTGGAGAAATGAAGTAGATAAATGGTTGGGCTGCTACATCATCATTTGTATATAATCACCTGGAAAATATATGCTCACAAGCCACAAAACAAGTTTTCTCATCTGAGGGGAGGGAGAGTCTTATTCATCAGATTGTTGGGAGAATCAGATGAAATAATTTCTATTAAGTTCTAAACACCTGACCTAGTATACTAAGGCATCTATAAATGTCAGTCATCATAAGTAATAGGAAGAGTAGCTCAATGAAATTTGGCTATTGTTTCATTTCCTCCTTGAACTTATTCTTCAGTCATACCTCTTTCAGCCCCCAAAATGGCTGAACCTTGAAACATGCATTAACTCATATATGTTCTATACTCATGTGTCCAATATGGCTACCACTCACAACACATGGCTACTGAGCTCTGGAGATGAGGCTAGTCCATAGGGAGATGGGCTATAAGTATAAGACCACACCAAATTTTGAAGATTTAGTATGAGAAATAAATATAAAATATCTCAATGATTTTTATATTGATTACATGTTGAGATGGCATGGATATATATTGGGTTAAATCAAATATTAATATATGATCAAAGTTATTTTCACAGTTTCTTTTTATCTTTCTAATGTGGCTACTAGAAAATTTTTAATTATATATGTGGTTAACATTATATTTCTATCAGGCAGGACTGCTTAGATTATCCTAAACTACCAAATATATCCCAAGCTTTTACACAAAAGGGTTTTGGGTCTGAACATTAAGCTGGCCCATGAAGAAATAAAATAGAGTTGCCTGGACTCACACCCAACACCTTCTAAAGAATTAGAATAAATATTAATGACAGGACTTATGCTAGTTCAAGCCCCTCATTGTATAGATGAGAAAACTAGCAAAGAGATCCTTGCTTCAGATTATCCAGCTATTAAAAGCCTGAGCTTGTATATCCAGACGGTTAATTCACTATCCCCTGCTAGTCAATTACGCTCTGGAAAATGTTCTCAATACTTTTACAAATGTGGGCAAAGAAGTTATGACAACGTAAGCTGTAATTATATAACTGCCCGAGAATATGAATATACTAGGACTCAAACATTTATAAGATATGAAATATTTTGTAGAGAGTGAGAGGGAGGTTGACTTCATATATTTATAAACCCCCATGTATTTACACGATATGACATGATGTATAGAATTAGAAAGAGAGAAGTCATTTTCAGGAGCCCCTTACAATGCCAGCAATAGTGGAGAATATAAACCGGTCTGAGATAAGAACCACAGTCCTTGCCATAAATTCTCTTATAATCTAATTGGACAGTATCCAATGGGACAACAGTTTGAGGAAATGGGAAACTGTGGACCTGAACCCCAATTTATTCTTTCATTCAATAAGTATTTATTGGATGCCTAAAATGTGCCAGGCACTATCTTCAATGCTGGAGTAAAATTTCCTGCCCTCATGCAGCTTATAGTCTAGCTGGAGACATAAATAATAAACAAGACTAATAAATAAAAATATATTATCTTAGATAATGACATCTGCTAAAGAGAATATTAAAGCAGGGAATGATCACCAGGAAAGACATCTCCGAGAAGGAAACATTTAGGTGAAGACCCAAGTGGGGAAGCAAACCATGTGGATAAGTGGATAAAAACACAGCAGGAACAGCAACGAAAAGTCCTGAGATGGGGGTGTGCCTGGCATGCTCACAGCACAGGGTTACAGGGAGGGGGTTTATCAAGGTCCTGGTGGGCCACAGGAAGCATTTCTTTTACCAAGTGAGATAAGGGATGGCAAGTTTTGAGCAGAAGAATAATGTCGCCTAACTTATATATCAACAGGATTTCCCTAGGTGCTCTGATGAGAATAAACCATCAGGAGCAGGATGGAAGTAGAAGCCCCAGTTAGGAGGAGCCTGCTACAATAATCCAAGCAGGAGAAGCTACTTTGAAAGCATTCCTGATACGACTCAACAGTGTGGATGTGAGAAAGAGAGGATTCAAGGGGGAATCCAGGGTTTTCAGCCAGAGCAATTAGAAGGCTACAGTTGCCTTAACTGAAGTGAGGAAGCCTACCAAAGGCATACGTTTGGGAGAAAAGACCATCTGGAATTCATTTTTGTGTATAGTATGAGGTAAGAGTCAAGGTTCATTTTTTCCATATGGATATGCAGCTGTTCCAGCACTGTTAAGAAAACTTTCCTTCCCCCATTAGACTGCTGTGGTACCTTTGTTGAAAATCAGTTGAAAATATAAGGTGAGTCTATTTCTAAGTTACCTCATTCCACTGATGTCTTTTGCCATCATATTGCCAATAGACCTTGCCTTGACTACTGAAGCTTCAGGAGCTCTGTGTTGGACACTTTAAGTCTGAGATGCCTGTCAGACAACCAGGTAGAGACGTCAGGTGGACAACTGGCTATAAGGGTCTGGAATTCAGAAGAGAAAGGTCAGTGCTGGAGACATAAATGTGTGTCATCCCCATGCAGATGGTGTTACAAGCCATCAGACTGGGAGACAACCCCTAGCAAGTGAGTATGGATAGAGAAATCCAATCACTGATCTGGAAAGCACCACAACATTAAGAAGTTAGCCAGATGAGGAGGAATCAGAAAAGAAGATGGAAGAGGATTAGCCAGAGAAGGAGAAGAAAAATCAGGAGAGTGGTGTTATGCTAGGATCCAAGTGAAGAAATGCTGCTACAGGAGGAAAAAACTGACCGATTATGTCGATTGCTAATGACAAGTCAACTAAGATTAGGAATATGGGGATGGGCCGCTGGATTTAGCCAGGTCGGGGCTCACTTTTGAATGGCAGGGGCAAAAGTCAGATCAGAATGGGTCCAAAAAGAAGAGGAGACAGCTTGCATGGACAATTCTTTCAAGGAGAAAATTGGAAAAGGGAAGGAGAGAAATGAGGCAGTAACTGAAAGGAGAAATGGGGTCTACAGAGTGTATGTTTTAAATCGAGAGTGATCCAGCAGAGAGGGCACATCTGGTGCTGCAGGGGAGAAACAAGAAAATGGCTGGTGGGTGAAGGTGGAGGTGTCACCCTTATCTAGGAGCACAGGGGGTTCACGTACAGAAACAGAAGAGAAGGGAGTGTCCAGGACACAGATGCAGAGAGGTCCACAGATGTGCTGGGAATTGTTCATGACTTCTCCAATGTGTGTTGTTTAGATTTTATAGGTTTAGAGGCTTTGGAAGTCCTTGTAGATTGAAGTAAGCAAATAAAGGCTTTAGTCTAGGTAGGATGACACTAAGAAAAGAGAGAATGAAGCAGAGGAGTGACTCTTGCCAGAGGGTCTACTCACCACCTGCCAGTTCTTCTCCCTAGGGCTCCACTTGCTGACTCCTTCCCTGAAAAGATGCCCCCCATAGACACCCCTGCTGTTCAGAGACATCTTGCTTCTCTGATGTCTTGCCCCACCTGCCACCCTCCCTCTCCTCTTTCCCATTCCCCTTGCCCCATCTCCATTGATCCTGGACACACGATGTCCTCCCTTCTCTCTCTCTCTCTCTTTCCCTCTTCCCCGTCTCTCCCCAGCACCTCTTATCCTTTCCTCCATCCACCTGCCAATCTCTTCTCAGGATTCGAACAGCCCTTACTACCCCTACCATGAACTTATTTCTCTCTTTATGAGAAGATTCTATCTCCCAACTCTGGCCGGAACTTTTTGTGTGTCCCTGAAGCTGCAAAGTTCTCGGCACACAGTAAAAAAAGAGATGGCAGAGAGGAGAAGGCAATGAAGTAGGGAGACATCTGCCAGCAACTCTATGACCCACTTTGACCCTCACACCACACGCTGAAGTGTCTTGCATTAGTCCATTTCATAGATGAAGAAACCGAGGCTAAAAAAGGTTATGCAACACATTAAAAACTACGAAGCTATTAAGAGGCAGAATCATGACTTAAATCAGAGTTGTCAAGCCCATTGCACATGGTAAGTTCCTTAAAGTTGGTTTGTAATAGTGACAGTTGGCCTCAGTCAGCTCCTTTAAAACTTTAAAACAAGAAAGTCGGACTGGATGGTGAATAAGGGCTTTCCTCTCTATAACTCCTTCTCAATAAAATACACAAGCTTTTATTTCATCATGGCTTCAAGAACAAATGAGAAAGAGCCCCCAACCTATGACACAGCTATAAAACATTGATGATAAAAATAAGAAACACATAGGCATGGAGGAGACCCTCTATGAAATTGCTGGCAGCTCAGCACATATCAACTTGTAACAAGTTTTTATTCTATGATAGGAGTAATGGATACAATGTCTCAACACTGACAAGCATCCTGTGGCTGAATCCTCCATGTCACTATCCCTCCTGGGCTAGCTTGTATTACCTCCCTTTATACAGATAAGGAAACTAAGACTTAAAGAGAATAAATACCACATCCAAGATCACACAATCAATAAGTCCCAAAACCAGGATTCAAACTCAGGCAGCCTGTCAAGGCAGCCCTCACTCTAAAACACAGTGCTGGTTCCTCAAGAACTACTACTCATGGTCGCCATTTTCAGGGGCAAAGTGTCAGTGAATCTTAGAGTGAGAAAGGAGCTTGGAAATAAAATCTCTCATTTAACAGCTGTGGAGACTCCAGAGCAGAGATTGAATGACTTGGCCTGATCACATAGACACAGATTTGAAATTTGAGGTCAACATTCTTTCTATCTGTTATGTTTTTACTAGGTGCAATAATGAGCTAAAAAATGTAAACATCTCAGGGGAAGAACCCATGAACCTCTGCAAAAATGGATGGTCAACCAAGCCTAAGACAACTAGAAGGAGTGTTAGTCTAGTTTGGAAAAATAACTTAATTGACCAAAGATCCCTCTTGGTACCCCAACATCTTCTACCATCACATTCCACTACTCAGGCCCCAAACATGCCCACAGCCATCCCCACCCCAGTTTGATTATTACTGAGTTTCATGGTGACTGGCCCAAGAAGATTAAAAATAGTAACGCTACCTTGTGTGGGAGAGTCCCAGAGACCAAGATAGCAACTGTCATAGCAACGGTCACACTGCTTTGGTCAAAGAGAAGACCCTTTGGGGAACCGAAAACAAAACCTTGAGCACATCTGTTGCTTTCACCCCCATCCTCCTCCAGCAGGCTGAGTGGAGAGCTCCACGCCCTTTCAGAAGTTTCCAAGGCCCCATGCATCTGGGACCCCCACAGCACCTGGCCAAGGCTGTGTCCAGCACTGGAATGGAAGCGACACCAAGCCCAAGCTTGTTTGATATCACCTCACCTAAGCCCACTGCCCCATCTCCAGTCCTAGGGTTCTCCCATGGAAAATCTCAGCCCAGAATAGTCAGTGTCTTCTGAGGGGTCTGATAGGGTCACAGGACCCATACAGCTTGCATGTGAGGAAGAAGTTGTGAGCAAACAGGTGCTTCATGAGGACCAGAGAAGCCCTGGAAGTATTTGAGAGCAGCAAGAAGCAGTTTATGTTGAATAGTTTGGTCATCTTGGGGATGAGAGGTTGGAAAGGATCAGGATGAACTATATACATCAACATTTCAGTATACATTTCAGTAAACTTCCTAGAGCCCATGCCAGAAGCATTCTCTTCTACTGCATCCCCTTTCCACCCATGCATAAACCATCCACATATCCATTCACCCATTGGTTGGTCCTTACTCAAGTCATATGGTTAGTTGTTAGCCCTTCTGTACCAAACAACACCAACTACTATAGGAAAAACCTGTCTGTACACTTGGATGTATGGATGCCCACCATTGTTCATTCCATGGAAATTCACTGGCAAC